ACTTTTGCATGCATCTTTTTCTTTCGCCGCGATGTTTACATTTGGCCTTGTTAATGACGCGCGTGCAGTAAAATTACATCACTGATCTGGGTCAATTGAGAGTTTTAGACTGTCAGATTTCTTTAATATAATTATAATTTTTACTCTTAGGGAGTGAATTTCAGCAAAATTTGAATCGGTATATTTCATTAGAAGGAATTTTAACATGTGTATGCCATTTTACCAAATATGACATTTTTCCCCGACCAGCCCCTTTAAGACATTTAATCTGAAATTCCCTATTATTATGATGAAGACTATAATAGATGAAGTGGAAACAATTTTATAAATAAATAAAATCGAACACAAAATATCAATCCTATGTTTACGTTCATATTCATATGGTAAGACACTTTATAGTACAGACTATAATTTACCTGTAATTGAATCCTATTGCTCCCTTCCTATAAGGTGTTTTTAGAATCCTGAATATAGTTTATATAGAAGTTTGCACTCAGAAGGTGTTTGTAGGTATATCTATAAATTATTCTTTTAAAGAGTTTATCGATGCCACTAAGCAGAGAAAGATGTCTATATTTTTCGGCAAAGCCAGTTAAGGTCGTTTTGGGGATTCATTGTGTTCATTTGACTCATTCGCTGCAGACGGAATGCTTGGCTGTTCTTGGATTGGTTAACAAAACACTTTCTACCTAATACGAATTAGGATTTACATACGAACGGAACTAGAACCATACCGTTGCGTCTCATGTTTAAACTAAGGCGAAACGTGTGCTAGTTTGCACGTATTTATAATATGGAGCCGTTAAATAATAAGTTTTGAAAAAATAGACAAAGGAATTGAAATTTCGCTTAGAATCCTATAACATCGGGATTAGACGCTTTGTTTTCATCTTGAATATATATCAAACGTCTAAAACGTGTGTTAAGGCTTGAAATATGTTAAGAATTTCACATTTCACATGAAGGGCCAATATTTATGAAACCGCAAGCATGGATTCTATTATCAAGCCGACATTCTTGTAACTCGTTAAAAAAGAAGTCAAATGTAAAGATTGAAACTTTCGGCTTAAAGAGTCTCCAAATTTCTTATTTCTTATTGACAAAATAAGATCACATTATTAATGTATCACTGGCACAAAAAATTGGACTTGATCACAGAATCTGTGTTTGAGCATGAGGACGGTTCCATGAATACAGGCCCAGGGCCCGTTTTCATGTAGCCCAAACTCAGATTCCTTGCTCGAACCCAATTTCTTGTTCTGGTGATAATTTAGTAAAACTTGACATTTGCTCTCTGATTTAGAAGAATATTGGAGCTGCTTCAAGCCGAATACCGCTTCAAATGTTTACTTTTTTATCTTGTCACGTGATTTAAGCGGGTTAACAAAAAAAGGGTCTGAGCACAGAATACATGTTCGAGCATGAAAATGCTTCTATTAATATATTTGTTCACCGCCATGCCTGGTAGGTCCTACTCGATATGCTCGCTGTAAACAGACCATGGTTAATCACCTCTACCACCGCCTAAGTACACACCCTCATTAATATTGTATCTAGAAATATATAAAACCGTCACAAAATATATCATGCGCATTTATTGTCCATTTTTTTATATAATAAGATCGAACAGTGATATGTTTTATAATCAGAAACATTGGACATCTAGTAACTGTGAGGCTAATCAATTTTTTTTATTAATGATATGATAGAAGAAATGCCTGGGGAGAACCCGTTAGAGCGGGTATACCCAATCGATAGCCCGTCAGTACATAGATCAACAGAGATTGCAAACCTGCTTCCTCCGTATAGCAGTTCAGTTGTACCGAGATGTGATTGTACACGAAGGTGTGTATAACACACGAAGGAAATGTAAAAGAAACATTATGTAAAGTGCTAATATTGATATGTACATGCATTGTACAATTTACATATGTCCGGACTAAGGAACATGAAGAAAGCCCAGAAATTCCCTTGAAAAGGTTTCTGATATGGGAACAAAACGTTGAAGAATAAATAAATTTCGTCATAAGTGTAATTTTTGTTCTTGATCCCGAGGCCTGGTTTCTACTTTGCATTAAGTAAAGAAATATACTGCGGAAAACATGGAAACACATGTACTTGCTAGTATCCGTAGTAGGTACATGGAACACTTCGTTTATGCTAAAGCCGGGAAGTTTTGCCAGGTTACGTCGAGTTTAAGTGATAAGATAAGGGTGTTCGCTTACTGTTAACATCAAAGTTAAATGTTTTGCTTGATTTCTACAAGTAATAACACCACATTCATAAGAAACAGCTGTGCACCTATTACATGTAACTGGATTACCCCTTAGCTGTTGGTGTGAGGAGCACAGTAGATCCAGGGGTTGTGGTTGGGGGATGTAATTCTAAATCAATCATCAGCATGTATGTATAACAAAAATATCAAAACCAGACGAACTCATATTTTTTCTAAATCTTCCTAAAATAGTCAACTTGGTATTAACAAACTTGAATTGAGAAATCTTCCATAAGAAGGATAAATTTGAGCTATGGCGGAAAACTGCCCGTATTTCCCGAAGTCGGCATTTTTGAAAACGGAAAAAAATATTGATGAGTAAATAATCTATAATAGCAAAAATTCATGGAATAGATATAAAACCAACTGAATATGAATTTTTGAACTGTTGAGATATTCGGTATTGTTAATATAAGGTATTGTTAATATAATACTGCAAATATAGCCATATTCACTATATCTATGAAAGTGAAGGGGTTTCCTAGACTTAATAAAATACTTTCAATACTTTCCCATCCGAGGACCAACTATTGAATAAACTTTTTGATTCCGTGATGTTATATGCAAAAACAAATCGTATGACGGAAAAGTGGTCCTCCTTTGGAAAAGTGCTCAAAATAATGAAAAACTGGGTTGATCAATTTTTTAAAACTGCGGCAGATGTTTCTTGGGTTTGACTTTGTCCGATGTAGCATAATGTGTAACGCAGTTAGCTTGTGACCAGATAATATGAACAGTGCGGGTTCGAATCCACATTCAGATACACTTTTTTTTTTATCTTTTTTTTTTTTTTTTTTTTTTAAATATTTAGGCTTGTGTTCATTTTCCTTAATTAAGTGATAAATATTTTTCAAATCAATAGAACATTTTATTTTAATAACATACCTATTGATTTATCTTCTATGGAATAGTACAGCTACGCTTTGTAGTTGAGACATCATTTTAAATATTTATGAATTGTTTTACCCTCCAATTGGATAACGCAAACAAACGATGCCGAGATACAAAATATATGGGATTGTTGCGTAAGAATATAAACAAAGGCAACGCAAACAAAATGAAGTGTTATTATCACAAAGATATTACCAAACATGTGGGAAAATTCATCGTCGAGGACAGTCTCATTTGTTTTAAATGCAGGAAGACTGCAGCACAAAGTTAGGAGCGCAATACACGTGTAAGACGTGCTTTTCGAAAACTATATGTAATTTTATCATTCCAAGGTAAAGGAAGAACAAAATCAAGATGTGTGTTTTTAAGAAAACATGTAACGGCATGACGTAGGCAGTAGTAATGAAAACTAAATCCGTTCAAACTTATTGGTTATGATTGTACGATATTATGTTTTATACAGCATAACGCAAAATACACATTTTGTTGAGTCTTTATCATGAAACGCATGTATTCGTAGCCATAGCCTTGAATTCGTCTGTTTACAGTAATCTATTCCGATAGAGCTACCTGTATAGATATACCTGAGGACCCGTCATAACAGTGCACGGTTGGAAGCGCGCACTACATAGCGGTCATAGTTTTGGGGAAATAGGCATCGCAACCCGCCATAGCTCTTTATAACAAAACTAACCTCATTAACCCATATCACAGAACAGTTACTGATCCCCCATCCTGACACTACAACATTCATATGGAATGTGATGCGATTTTAACCATGGTAAACTGTACATTTAAGCTATTTCCTTTGAAATAGTACAGCAATCTATGGTTATTCTGTAATCACCAGAGATAGTGTACACCATCTCGTTGTACATGTATATGTTCAATTGAAATTTTAAGTAGTCCGAAAAAAATATGCATATCGATATTATAAATTATTCAGTTAAAAAATTAAATGAATTTTTCCTTACTCTTTCAAATTTTTGAACTATAAACAATCATTGAAATATATACTTCAGGCTTTTAAACTCGGGTAAACTCTGTAGTGCACTGAAGTTCACATCGTTACGCACTGGAGTTAACACTGTAGTGCACTGGAGTTAACACTTTAGTGCACTGGAATTAACATTGAAGTGAACTGGAGTACACTTCAAAGTTTTGTCTAGTGCACTTCCTTGTTCACTATGTGTGCACTTCAAAGTGCACTTATAGATACCAAGTTAAGTTTGCTCACACCTGTATATAGATAATCTATATTTCCCCACTTTCATGAGATTGCAGTATCTTTACATAATATTAAAACTTCTTTATATAGTAAACTTGATTTTAAGTGAAAATATGGCTTCTATGTAAAAATAAAATCTATGTCCAGCAGTTCATTCATTACTAAGTACATTTTCGGGGTCGATATACTTCGTCATTTCTGACCCCTTTGAAAAGTTAATACTGCCAGTTTACCAAAAATAACTTCTTCCCAATGTTAGTTCTTTCTAATGTGGTGTTATTTAAGGAATGATTTTTATTTTTTCAACATTTATGAGGTCATAACAACAATGGGTTTATGGACATATTGAATGAATCGCGTTACTATCAGTTCCCACGTGCTGAGATTCTATGAACACCTGTGTTATGCATTTATGAATGTAATTTTTGTCAATGGGTCTAAGCATACAAAATGTAAATATTATTTGTTGAAGGTAAACAAATACTCTGTAGTTGTGACTGTTTTAGAGGAGAAGGTGTTTTTTAAGGTAAGAATTTGTGTCTTATCCCCTGTCCATATATAACTGTCTCTCTATATTAACTTTAGACGACGTTTCTGTTTGACCAGATCCACAGGAGGAGGGGTTAGAGTGTGATGAGAAAGAATGTCCCAGACACATTGCCCCGACATGGAATGGCACTGAATCTGCTCGTCATTCTGTTCATTGTCTCGTGTAAGTCTAGCTGTAAAAGATAACACAATGTGTCTTATAGACAAACCTACACAATGTACATTGTAGACAAACTTACACATTGTATATTGTAGACAAACCTACACAATGTACATTGTACACAAACTTACACATTGTATATTGTAGAAAAACTTACACATTGTATATTGTAGACAAAGTTACACATTGTATATTGTAGACAAACCTCCACATTGTATATTGTAGCCAAACGTACCCATTGTATATTGTAGACAAACCTACACAATGTACATTGTGGACAAACTTACACATTGTATATTGTAGCCAAACCTACACATTGTATATTGTAGACCACCGTTCCCATTGTATATTGTAGACAAACCTACACATTGCATATTGTAGACAAACGTACACATTGTATATTCTAGATAAACTTACAAATTGTATATTGTAGACAAACTTACACAGTGTATATTGTAAACAAACCTACACATTGTATATTGTAGACAAACGTACACATTGTATATTATAGATAAACTTACAAATTGTATATTGTAGACAAACTTGCACATTATATATTGTAGACAACCTTACACATTGTATATTGTAGACAAATTTATACAATTTATATTGTAGACATCGCTTATATAAATAACATTATATTTGAATGTAAAATAGTGTGGTTTTTTTAATATCTGTTGTATAAATTCATCTAAAACAATTATTTAACAAATGATATAGTTATCAGGTTTTTTTTTCTTTTCTTGCGGAAGGTGTGTCGTTAAAAAGACTCAGTTCACCATATTTTTTTTGTCATTTTCTTAACACATGGCCATTTCGAGCTGGCACTTAAAATAGTTCTAATTCACAAAATATATCCGGACATGTTATCATAGGATTTTGATCTACCATACAATCAAACTATAGTCGTTTTAAATGTTGCTCAGTATGTCAAGTAAAGGTTTAAACAGAACTAACTGTGATCTGTTTTCGGTTTTCTCCTACACACTCGCTTCTGTTTTTCAGATAAGGGGATACTAATACATGCTGCCACCACTTCCGGTAAAGCTTTCGTCACTTCCTCTACACAGGATGGCACCACTTCCGGTAAAGCTTTCGTCACTTCCTCTACACAGGATGGCACCACTACCTTTTCAAGTAGTGGAACGACGGAAACGGGCCTCTCCACAGGACAAGCCTCCGCCAATGCCACCAATATGCTAGACTCGTCTCCATCTTCATCAACACCGTCATCCTCATCCTCATCGTCGACGTCATCTTCATACTCAACTACCTCAACGCTACCAAGTAAGTAATCGTATGATCTTGATGGTCCTATAGTTAATTTGTCGAGGTATTCATGAGCAAAGTTAACTAGAATTTAGAATTGGGTTATAGAGATGTACGATTACGATATGATAAAGTCTGTCGAGGGTTATATACTATGTAGATAATGAAGTGACTTAACTAAAATTAGCTGCACCCATTGCAAAATTTTGGACGTACCAAATTCCCTAAAATGGTAGTTGTTGTTCCTGCTGAACGTCCAGTATCTGTAGTAATGCAGATAGTTAATCTGTTGTCAATATAATGTGATCGGTGGAATACTGTGCTGGTCGACCTTGACATTGTATTGGCATATACACCAATGCCAGTACCAATTCCAGCAGCCATACACACATGTCCGCATACATTACACACATAGAGGCACGTTCTAAAATAATTTTAGCTGTTATACCTCTGAAAACAAACCAAACCAAGATTTGGTCTAAGGTATATAATATACAAAGGGACGTCACTCGTATACTCTGTAAATCATGCAAGGACTTAGTTCAATATCTTGACGCCACGGTTAACCCAATGACTTGAAACCATCCGCAATACATATGTTTTTGTTCTTTCGTCATTTCCGTATTGCGTATCAAATAATTAAATACCGTAGTATAAAGTACAGTATCACAAGGGCAACAATGCTAAGAGTGCCTAGATTCTCATTAAATCACCTCTACATCGTCAAATATTTAGCAACGTTAACGTTGGAAAGGCGTAATCTGGTGGAATGTCTGTATAAAGATAAGCACTGGTGGAATGTCTGTATAAAGATAAGTACTGGTGGAATGTCTGTATAAAGATAAGTACTGCTGGAATGTCTGTATAAAGATAAGTACTGCTGGAATTTCTGTATTAATTTAAGTCCGGATGAAACATGTGTATTAAGTTAAGTCCTGATGGAATGTTCATATTAAGACCAGCCCTGATGGAATATGTGTATTAAGCAAACACGTATAATATTGATAAAGCCATTTCGCAGAAATGAATATAAAGATGAATGTATTCTAATATTTATAGTTCTTTCAATTTCGCACTTTATTTGACTGAATTGAGAAAAATATATTGATATTAGGGAAACATTGAAGATTGCTCATGAGAAACAAAGTATATTTAGGCATATATTAGTATGTTGATAGCGGAGAAACTCTTTACATTTTATACCACAATATATTATTAAGATATATCTGAAAACAATTATAAACAGGCTTAAAATTGCTTTTCGTTTATTGACAGATTTACCATCAACGTCTTCATCGCAATTAACATCCGGCAGCTCTTCTTCGTCTTCCAATCCTTTAGTGCCTGCTACGAACTCTGTACCTAATCAGACTGACATAATGTCTACATCATCAGACCCATTAAATCCTAAATCATCAGTCACACACGATATCACTGATACCACACAAACACATTCGCCGAGTCCTATACTTACAACTATGAAATCCGAAATAAGTACTACACATTCGACAACGAGTCAAACAAATGACATATCGACCGGTGAAGGGATGTCAGTCACAGCTTCAACAAATACAGCAAGTGTGTCAGTAACATTAAAGTCAACAGCTGAAATAAATGTCTCAACTGTTTTTTCTATTGAAACACAAACCAGCTCAAGTCCTGACGAATCGTCAACATTAACAACAACTGGAAGCATTGCAGCAGGTTCCTCTACTGGTACAGGCGCTGGCAGTACTGGCACGATGCCCAGTTCCGTATCAAGCACAACTGTGACAGCAGAAATGTCACCATCAGCCTCGATAACACCGATCACGACCTCGTCGAGTACAGTAAGTGAAGCATCGACATCAACACTATCGTCTTCGCCCACCACACAATCGACAGGCCAAGCTTCCAGCAGTACAGTGAGCGGTAGCACAGCAACATCAGCTGTAACTAGCAGTACAAGTGTACCTGTAACTCCACAGTCAACATCTAAGGCAACTGACTCGTCAACTCTTTCTACTGCAATGCCGACGGGCTCAACAGGTCCTGTCACGTTATCAGAATCAACAACAACCAGACGTTCTACTAGTGCTTCCTCTCCAACAACAGTGAAAACACTGTCTTCTGTGAGCACATCGCAATCAAGCACTGCCACCGGAAGTTCCATCTCTCCAACCAGTACTTCGACATCGTCAAGCACGCTTCCATCGGAAGGTACCTCATCAACTGCGACAACTTCCCTCGGCAGTTCCACCACTGTGAGTTCTAGTACGCCTGGAAGCAGTGCCGCTTCTAGCACAACTGTAACTGCCTCAACATCCCAATCGACTAGTCCTGTTGTAACATCGGCTTCGACGCCGGTAGTGAACACTATGACCGGGGGCAATGGTACGACTGCCTCTACGACGTCAACATCACAGACCGACACAACTACAAAAGCAAGCACGATGTCAATACCTTCTAGTGGAAGCACTTTAACTGCTACGGAAACTTCTTCAGTTCATAGTAGCGCAGGTGGCAGCACAACAACTGCGATGAAGTCGACAAGTGAGTCTACGAGCAACAGTCCAACGACTTCGAAGAGAACAGTCCCTAGCGGTACTGGAACGATGCCTAGTTCCGTATCAAGCACAACTGTGACAGCAGAAACGTCACCATCAGCATCGATAACACCGATCACGACTTCGTCGAGTACAGTAAGTGAAGCATCGACATCAACACTATCGTCTTCGCCCACCACACAATCGACAGGCCAAGCTTCCAGCAGTACAGTGAGTGGTAGCACAGCAACATCAGTTGTAACTAGCAGTACAAGTATACCTGTAACTTCACAGCCAACATCTAAGGCTACTGACTCGTCAACTACTTATACTGCAATGCCTACAGGCTCAACAGTTCCTGCCACGTCATCAGAATCAACAACATCTGGAAGTTCTACTAGTGCTTCCTCTCCAACAACAGTGACAACACTGTCTTCTGTGAGCACATCGCAATCAAGCACTGCCACCGGAAGTTCCACCTCTCCAACCAGTACTTCGACATCGTCAAGCACGCTTCCATCGGAAGGTACCTCATCAACTGCGACAACTTCCCTCGGCAGTTCCACCACTGTGAGTTCTAATACGCCTGGAAGCAGTGCCGCTTCTAGCACAACTGTAACTGCCTCAACATCCCAGTCGACTGGTCCTGTTGTAACATCTGCTTCGACGCCGGTAGTGACACTATGACCGGGGGCAATGCTACGACTGCCTCTACGATGTCAACATCACAGGCCGACAT